GGGAGGGAGGGAGGGAGAAGGCTCTGGCACATATTTTTAAAAGGTTGTTAGGAGGATTCATATATTTTTTTAAAAGTCCACTTATTAACTCCCAAAGTGAAAAGAAAAAAAAAACTTGATATACCAGCAGAAGAATTTAGGTTTGATTTAAGTAATACATTTTGAGTGAGGCAGTATTTTCTCCAAGATGTGACTGAGAGATAAGGCAATTATACAAGTAGCTAAGTATTCTTTGATGATTCAGTCTAATTTGCCATCACAGAGAAAGGTTAAAAGATTTGCATGCTGGTTACATAGTTGAGAAAGAACACTGAATGATCACTGAAGGCACTGGATTTTGAATGCTTGCTTACTTTTCTCTGCAGAGATAGTGGGCGATGTTTGCTCCACTACCCAATCACATTCATTATGCAATAAAAATAAAATACAGTCTAAGTATCCTATCAGAGTGTCTGAAGAATCAGCATGGCTAGATAACCTCAACAGCTTTCAGACTTGGTCATGCCAGCCACAACTTTCATTCTGCCCACAGCTCCCATAACACCAGTCCTTGTAGTTTCAGAGATGGTTCTATAATGCCAGATCTGTCCTTCAACTGCCTGGGACTCTCACTCCATTCTTGTATCTGTCCTATTCCAAAAGGCCTTTACAGTATTCCAGACCATTTCTGGTTTCAGGGAGGGGGCTCATTCCACTCTTTTCCAAAGCCTGTCCCTCTACTGGGGGAGGATCATTGGGATCACTATCACTTCTGCCTTCCTATCCCAAGATCCACCAATTAACCTTTTACACAATGTAGCAGAAGACAAATACATAATTTGTCTCACATTGCTCTTTCCTTTCTAAATCTTTTCCATGCTTTATTTTGCAGCTCTTGTTCAGGTTCAGCTTTCATTGATTTTCATTTCCTGCTTCTTCATGTGGACTTTCAGAGAGCCCCCCCCCCCATTCCCTGTGACCCAGAAGAACCCAGCAGTAAAGGAAAGGGCAATTTAAGGCCACCAAATTTTTCCTGTGGAAATGAGAGGGTAAAGGGTAGCTCCCATTGCAGGCATCTCAAAGTGGTTTGTACTCTGAGGCTTTCTGAGAGCTAACAGGGAAGCGTACCATTCTTCCAGAGAGACAAGAACAGAGACAAAAGTGAGAAAGAAGCCAGAGGTTGTTTTCCTCCAAAATCTCACTGTGTGCAAAGATTTACCTTCCTCCTTCTTAAAGAAGTTAGCCTTAAACTCAAGAGGAATAGATGCCCACAAGCCTCAGAGCCCTAGATGTATAACTTAGGCTGTTTCATTTCTTTTTTCTCTCTTTTTTCCTCTCTCAGGCATCCCAGCCTCTTATTCTCTCCTCGCTTGTGTGGCCTTGCGGCTGCTTCCTCCATCAGCCTGAGGCAAGAGGGGTGGAAATCGGCTCAAGACATCAAGTCACTAGGGGGAGTTTTGAGCTGACGAGAACATTACCATATTAGACAACGATGTCCAACAAGGCAAATGAAAATGGACAAAGAAACCCTGTCCAGAGAATGGCATGGGCATTTTTCAAAGAGCTGTGAAACCGCTTGCAAGTGTTTTGATCATGTGCTGCTTTGCATCCTCAGCTTTTTTACCAAAGAAAGTGTTTCATTGAAAAACAGGCTTAGTAAATGATGCTGCTTCCCGGCCCCCCCCCCCCCCCCCCCCCCTA